CATCCCCGTCTCCCGTATCTGAGAAGAGCAGGAGGAAGGGATGCTCTCCGGGGAACCGCCTCTCCTCTCTGCCTCTTCTGCACCAGCAGATTATAATCCCTGTGCGGGCGGCGAGTTATCTACACCAGTCTGATTCCCTGGGTTTAGAGGGCCGCCTCGTCAGTGAGCCCTCCCATTCACTTTTGTCCGCTCACGAGTGCGCTTCGGGGAGAGGTGGAGCCCGAGGCGCTGACATCCAGCAGAGCAACCCTAATTATTAGTCCGGAGCTCTGGCCCTGGGAGTTCTGGCCCCTTCCTGGCCCTCAGGCTCGCAGTGGAAGATTGCTAATCCTGGAAACCAGGCCCTTTCCCTTGAAATAGAATTGGGCTCAGCTCCAGGAACATGAACAAACTAAGAAAATGGTCCAGGATTCCATAATCTGGTGAGTACGGGAAACCATTTCTGATTCGACACTTATTTTCAGGATGCAGTGTGAAGACAGACGTGCAGACATGCCCCTGAACGACCTTAGAGAACAAGCAGGCAGATTCTTCTCACCTGTCCTTTCCGATTTATGGTATAGTTGTTGGTGAAATTCGGTTTCAGCATATGGTTTCCATGATTCTTTGGATTCTGACATAATTCCTTCTCGACACCATGTGTCTTGTCCATTTGAGTGACAGGTGCACATGTGTGGTGAAGTCGTTTCAGGAAAATTGGGTTTGAAATCAAAAGACTGGAGTATGAAACTTTTTTGGCTATTTACTTGCTTTTTTTTTCTTCTTTTTTTTCCTCTGGCTAATTCAGAACTGAATTCCTCTGAACCTCAGTGTCCTCCTGTGTGTGAAAGGGCGCTCATTTTCAGAATGTTGGAGATAAGTAACTGGAATCCTCTGGATCTGAGCAGTTCCTCTCTATCTTGCTTCCAACTTAACATGGTCACTCCATTAAGTGAATTTTGGGGGCTGGACAGCTCAGGGGTAGGGGTGATGGCGGAAGCAGAGGGAAGGCTGAGTGACTGAGGGAGAAGGCAGACTGTCTCCGACTCAGGGACCCTCTCCTTGTATTTTCTCTTCCTCTGCCCCGTAGCCCACGGCTACTAAGGACCCCCTCAACCCAGCGCGGTGCCCGTCTAGGCAAGCGGGTCACTTGCCTGTATAAAAGAACATCGCTGGCAGATCAGCTTGTGTTGACAGGCAGGTGGCAAGGTTGAGGATGAGGCTGGCACAACAGATTTAATCACACCTTATGGAACCAGGACCAGATGTCATAGAGTCGATCAAGAAATTTCTCACAACACAGAGGCAGAGTACAGGAGAATGCATCTAATTTTTACAGTTCTATTTGTTGATATATTTTGGTAAGAATCTCTTCTGGATGCTCATGAGAAAATTGCTGATTACGTCTGGGCCATTATTGTGGTGACCAAACCGAACTGTCACTAGTGGGATTTCTGCTGTTGTTGAAAGAGAACTCTTTCTTTGTGTAATTAAAACAGACACAAAAATGCAGTATGGCATTGTACTTTCCTTGTAAATATGTGTCAGAGTTGGGAGAGTTAATATTTAGCTTGGTTCTAGCTATGGTCATTAACTTCCATGGTCTCCCGGCTATAGTCTTGCAAGAATTTGGGGTGGATTTTGCTTCCCATTTTACTTTCGTTCTCTTTCTATGTGAATCTCTGTCTGCATAGTGAGATTTATCAGTCTAGGTCCTCATTTCAAGAGGGGAACTCAACTTTTTAAGATGCTAAAGTCAGAAGCAACTGAGAAGAGGAAAAATAAGGAATGACAGCCACAAATGAGGCAATAATATTGCTTTAACTAGAGCCCTTCCGGGTGAGACTTGGCACTGTGGGTGTGTGTAAACTATAGGCAAACTATGTACCTATTTTCCAGCCGCCAGAGTTATCAGAATTAACAATTTCACCACTTCACTGGACCCTTGATTTCAGTGCCCTGCACCTAGAAATACGTGGCACTAAAGAGAGGACTTGAAATCTGCCCCAACTATGCATTCCTTGTCTGAATTAGCTTTGTATCCAAATGAAAATAAATGTTTTCTTTAGAAAATAAGTCAAACACAGTAAAAGAAAATTAGACTAGAATACAGGAGGTAGACTTTTCCCACATAACCCATGGACCACAATTGTTCAGACAGGTGCTGTGAACATTTACTTGAGCCCTGGAGCAGGAGTCTCGGGTAGGCGGGGAGCCTTTAAAAATAATCTGAGAAACAATGGCATGAAAGCAAAAGGCATGTAGACTAGTGTTTTATATACTTAAGGATTTCCTCTTAAGAGAAGAAGCAGAAGCCAACGTATTTTTTTTCTTTTAACACAGCGAGATATAATCAAAGGGGACAGAGTATGGGTCATATTGTACAGAAATGTTGGACAGGAATATTCTTCTAATAGATGGGTTAGAATCCAGCCCATAGGAAGGGCCATCCCAGAAGGTTCTGGCATCTAGGCATGCCTTTTCTTAGCTTGACACAGAACGGGCAGGCCCAGTCACGTGGTAATTGAACATTAATGGCAAAGAAAAAAATGTAGAGAGGAATATTGTTGTTACAAGTGAATATAAGAATTTTGTGATCTCAGTGCTTTGGTGAGCTCTGTGTGGCTTTCATGGACAGATGGGTACACCTGGCATGTATTCCTTACAAATTCTTGACTTGTTTGGTATCTTATAGGTGCCTATAGCCAAATGGTGAGAACCTTGTTTAGGAAATGCAATAGAAGGTCATGTTGCGTCCAGCAATGGGTGCTGCGGAGTAAGTGTGGTATCGGGGTGGGAGGATAAGCTTGGGTTTGGGTCCTTGGGTGTGGTTATGTTTACACATGTGGTGTCATTGGATGTGGCCACCCTGAGCAGCTCTACGTGGGGACATGTGCACAGGGCTTCCCATTTCACGTTCCAGTTTGTACCAGCAGGAGTGTAGTTTGGTTTCTGGGCAGAGCTCACGAGTCGGAGCTGGCTGCTGAATGGCTCTCTCTTCCTCTTGTGCTGTGGTAGGAGATTATGTCACAGAAGAGACTCCCAGGTGGCCAAGCCCGTTAAACAGGCTGCTCCCTGAATGAAAATAATTACGTCTGATCATGCACCGAAAAGGAAGCAAGAGGGAAGAAAAACAAGAATGACAATGGCAGGGACCCATTTTCAAATTACGTTAGAACTCTTCTGGCTGAGCTCATGTTTTATTTTGAAGACCTTCTCCTTTGCTCCACCTTCTCAAGGCATGTTGCTTCCTGCCCTTTTACGAGCACTTTCCCTTTCGTGTGGTCTCGTGGAATTGCGAGAACTTCCACCTTGCCCTTTTGACTTACAAAATAGATGAGATGGACTTTGCTATCTTGTTATTCACTGACTGCATAGATCCTTTGCTCTGTGCAATCCCACAGATAAGAATTTCCCTCTCTCTCTGCAATGTTCCTCCTTCTCGCTACTCCTCTGTTTATTTGGGCTTCTGTCAACCAGCCACCTGCCTGTCCTCTGAGTTCTAAGGGAGCTGGTTAACTCTCATCCCCTCAGATGAGCTCACAGAGCTCCAGGAATGGTGAAGAGAAGGCTCAGCTGGCTGGGAGGTTCCTTTTACATGTGTGTTTCAGGCACTGAGACACTGTTTCAATACAGATCAGCGTGGTTCTTGGTATTAGCAAGGAAGCGCAACATGTAACAGAAGGGAGCATAATATGGCTAATGTCATACATGTACAATATAGCATAATATCATATAAGCTACATTATGATTTTTAAAAATTTGACCTTGTTATCAAATCACTACAAAACTAGAGCACATATTTACAGTTACCCAGACAGTAGAAAATTACAATATTTTGTTTCTGATCAATGAGAATTTTTAAAGACGTTGGTCTTGCGGGCCACAGAATCAGGCTAACCAAGGGCAAAGTAAAGTCTGTGCATATATGGAAGAGTGGTAACCACCAGTTCTCTTCAAAAAGAACGAACCCGGTTTTGGGGAATATGCTAATTATACAGAATTATATAGAAACACGTGCTGATTATATAGAGTTGAAAGCGATGCACATAAAGAATCTCTGGCCAGGTAAACACGAAACTAGTAGCTATAGTCTGCTTGGAGGAGAACTGGGAACTGGATAGATGGAGAACAAGGAGGTGGGAAGCAGATTTTTATCTTTTGGGGTGGGTATGCCATTTTATATTTTTATTTTTGAATCAAATAAGTAGATTTCCTTTTTGTTTAAAAAAGAGAGAAAGAGAAGATGGCTTAGTACAGACACTTGCTTTAATCTATACATTGGTAAGAATGAGTGTCTGTGTCTGTCTATATATGATGGGCAGGGGAGGCTCCTTGGAGCGCTGAGAGCTGTAGAATTAAATAGTTTCTATGCTGTCTGTTGATTGGTAGTGAGAATGCAGTGGGGAGGACGTTTCAGAGAAAGAAAGCATAATTCATCTCACTTGAGATCTGCCAACTATTCATTGTCTGACTTAGCTTTGTATAAAAATGGAATTAAGTGTTTTGTTTTAAAAAATGGGTGATACATAGAAAAAGAAAATCAGACTTGCTTAAGGACTATAAACAAGGATAACTCTTTCTCACAAAACCCATGGACCAC